TCCAAGACTACTTCCTCTCACATTTTCCATTGAGGAAATAGATGCCATCAAATGAGACCTGCTTAACCTTCCCACCATGATGTCCAGTAATCTGCCTGCATCTGTACCCACACACTCTGCCATCCCTCCAGACGCTATCGACAGACTGTGCCTTTATCTAAGTCCAAGCCTTCCATGTTGTACTGGATCCCATCACCTCTCTCCTCAAGGTCTCCACTCCTGCAACTATCCCTGCTCTCTGGCAGCATCAATTTCTCCCTCTCTTCTAAAGCCTTCCCATCAGCATAAAAGCATGCTTCTCTATCACCCATTTTGAAAACACACCAAAACAGAACAAAACTACTACTATCCCCTTTGCCTATCTGCGACACTGGGGCTCATATAAAGACCATCAAATCCCCTCCAGTTTACCTTAGGGTGCTGTACATACTTGATTATTTTCTATATGTGATATAACCTGAAAAGATGGGAAGCACTGACCTGTAGAGAGAGCAAGAATAAAGACAGGTGCTAAAGTTGTCAGTGGAAGAGAAGGAGAGACCAGGAGGTCTGTCGGTGATGCAACAAGAGAGTGTAGCAGGTACTAAAAACACGTGCTTCAAAAAAGCAGGATCTAGGGAGGAGCAATGATCTCAAAGCGGCAATAAGGAACAAGGATAACACTGCTACTTCCTGGACTACTGGCACATGGCCTGTCCTTCCTTTCCAACTACTCAGCTGAGATGACACACTCAAAAACAGGGTGCCTAGCTCTTGACACAGGGAGAATGCAATAATGTTTATTGAGCTAAGTCAACCTCACACCTCCAGAGCAACTGTCTCACGGTGTACAGAACTCAGTAGACTCGTTCTCAAGACCTTCCAAGAAAATCTGCCTCTTCTGACTTCCTATCCCGTGATCCAGTCCAGGCTCACAAACTCAGAGTCCACCGACAGGCCTGTTGCCTTGGCTCTGCCTCCGAACCAGTCTTGCCCTCTCATGCCACCGTTTTGGCTGCCCCTCCCCTGACTCTGACCTGTGAACTTCTGCTTCTGGCTATAATAGAATAACAGGGACCAGATGTATTCTTTCACCTCAAACAAGGAATCATACAAAAGATAAGAGACCGTAGACAGTGATCTCTGAGAGGAAGAGAAATAAAACAGGTGAAACTGATGAGTGCCCCAGCTCATTGCCTGGAGGGTTTCCAGACCACAACACAGAGCCCAGTGGTCTTGCTGAATTCGGGAGATGGAGTTTGGAGTTCAAGAGAGCCAAGGCATCTAGAATTTGTGGGAGCACAGTACTGAAGAGGGGGAAACAGAGATCCCCACGTTTTTGGCTGAGTACTTGTTTGTACCTGCTTGTGAGGAAATCAGAGTCCAGGAAAAGAACCAACAGAAAAAGGAGAAAGTTCCCAGAGCTTACCCAGGGCCAGGAATAATCTGTGTTTCCACCAGACAGAGTGGTGAGACTTCCTAACACACACAGCATTGGTAAAATCTTCAGAAGGGTATTATCATACTAGCAGGGTCGAATTAGCCCTACACTAAAGGCTTCTCTGGACCTGCCCTAACACAGCTTAAAAGCGAGCCTCAAAAGGATCGAACCGATTCCAAATAACCATGCCCCAGAACAAAGCACAAAAATATTTAAAGGAAGATGACAAAATCTAACATACAACAACATAAAATTCACCATGTCTAGCATCCAACCAAAAATTATCAGACATTCATAAAAACAAGAAGATACAACCCATAACCAGGGGGAGAAAATCAACAAATAGACCCAGAATGACATAAATGATAGAATTAGCAGATAAGGATGTTAAAACAGCTGTTATAAATATATTCCATATTGTTTGAGAATATATAAACACAATGATGAAAGAAATGGAAGATATAAAAAAAGACCCAGATAGAACTTCTAGAGATTAGAGATACCTGTAATGAAAGATGCACTGAATGGGATTAAGAGTAAATTAGACACTACAAAGGAAAACAACAAGAGAAACTATCCAAAATAAAACACGAAGACAATAAAAAATGAATAAGATATAAATGAGCTGCAGGATGACCTCAAATGGTCCAATTTATCTGTAATTGGAGGAGAATAATGAGGAAGAATTTATTTTCAAAGAAATAATGGCTGAAAATTTTCCAAGTTAGATGAAACTACATAAACCTACAGATCCAAGAAACTTAATGAGACCCAAACAGAAGAATTATGAAAATAACCACACCAAGGCTCATCATAATCAAATTGCAAATTCTGATCTGCAACACTATCCTCTGTTTTCTTGGATTCTGTATCTGACTTTCTGGCATCCGTTCATCTCAGGGCCATTTGTATTAAATGTTCTTTCTTATTTTCTGTATTCTTGATGCTCTGGCATTGTGGCCTTGCTGACTGGGGAGAGACTGCCCCTGCCGGGCTCGCCAGTTCTTAGAGATAGCAAAGGTCCGCCTGAGAGACTGCCTTTCAACCAGTCTAACCAATCCAGAGCCCACACCCCCAACCATCTCCTCAACAAACTCTCACCCACCAAAGCAATATTCCCTCTGCCCTAAATCCCTCTAGGGCCACGCACCAGACAACTAGGGACAGCTCCTATACCTCAAAGATCATGGGGATTATTCTAACTAGCCAGTCCTAAACTGTGTTTCCTGCCCTGCCTGGTCTTCCCACAGAAACACAATGAAGACTCTAGCCTACGCCTTCCCCTGGATCTTTCTGCCTCCTGACCAACGTTGGTGCCAAACCACGTGGCTCTGTGTGGCCTGGCATGCCCCCTTCTCTCAGGAATGTTAAGTAATAAAACTTCTTGCAATGCCATCAACCTCTCCATGCTGTCACTCAATCACCTCTGTAAACTAAAAATCCTATGGGTACAAATTGAGATAATCACCTCTTAAGGTCTCCATTCCTCCAACCAAGCCTCTCCAAACTGTGAGATTACTATACTTAAATTCAGTGCTCATCAACTCTCTACTACTCAAAGACTTTCTTTCTTTCCTTCTCTTCTCCTCTTCTTTTTTCTCTTCTCTCTCTTCTCCTCTCCTTTCTTTTCTCTGACAGCGTCTCGCTCTGTTACCCAGGCTACAGTGCAGTGCCGTCATCGTAGTTCCCTGCAACCTCAAACTCTTAGGCTCTAGCAATCCTCTTGCCCCAGCCTCCTGAGTACTTGGGACCACGTGCCATTATACCCAGCTAATTTTTCTATTTTTAGTAGAGATAGGGTCTTGCTCTTGCTCAGGCCGGTCTTGAACTCCTGAGCTCAAGCGATCCTCCCACCTCGGCCTCCCAGAGTGCTAGGATTACAGGCGTGAGCCACCACACGGGGCCCTCAAAGACTTTCAATAGCTTCCCATTGTCTATCAAATAAAATGTCCGGATCTATTTCTTTAAAACAAATCTATTTCTTTAAAACATTAACTCCCCAAAGGCACCTAAAATATAGTAAAACATGTAGAAAATGAGCTTCATGGTATTTCTTACGTATTCCTGATGAAACAGTCTTAAAACTTGTATGTAGATCTATCAACCTGAGTGTGCCGGCTGCCATTTCTATCCCACCATTCCATGACCCTGGGCACAGCACAGGCCCTGGGCTGCTGGGTCTGGGTCCGGCGGGAGGCACAGGCCTCACTCCCAGCACGGCCTCTCCATCTTCTCCAACATTGTCCCACCACTTTAATTCTGAATTATCAATCCCCAAATCAAAAACAGGGGATCGATTTTCCTTCACAGAAGAAATGATTTTATTCCGTTTGAGAAAAGTTTGCCTGGCAAAGTGATTTTCCCATGGGACCCTGCACCCTGTCTGGTTAAGTTATGGTGACAGAGGTTAGAGAAGCCTGTGGCCCTCAGTGGCATAGCTTTCAGCACAAACATTTGGCGGGAAAAGCATGATCAATATGTTTCCTGTAGCAAAGGTTCAGAAGTTCTTTTTATCCTGAAGATCATTTTGGTCTCTAAGAAAACATTTAATTCTGAAGATAATTTAAATGTGCTAATTAAACCCTCGGCAAATTGTTTTTTCACACGACTGAGAGGAGAAAGAAACTGGGAGCCTGGCTCAGGCACTCTTTGGTCACGCTCCCCTCCTCTTACGTGGCATCTAGGCCTGACGTGTCAGACGCCATAACCGTCCCGAAGCTGGGCATCCAGGCAGCGTGTTTCCTCCCTGTCCAGACTTCTCGAAGGCCGAAGGCCCAGCTGCCTCAGCCCCTCCCCAACCCTCCCTGCGACCCAGCAGACTGACTCCCAGGCAGCAGTAGGCTCTCGGCCCGTCCCATGGGCCTACCCCACCCGCAGCACCGCTGTCATTTTGTCAGGGGAAGGGACAGCAAACCTCAGGCCCCTTCCTCCCTCCGGTACCAGACCCCTCTTTTTATGGCCTTTCACAGCAAGAGTCACCTCTAGGCCACAGCCTTGTGCTCTAGCTCTAGAGTCCCCAAGAATGGAGTCAGGGAAGCAGCAGGAACAACACCGTATTTCAGGTGCACACAGGGGCCACTGCTCTCAGCAGTGCCAGCCTGACCGCTGCTCGGCCTCAGATGCAAGGACCTCGGTGACAGGCGCTCACCCTTCTCTCCAGACACTGGCCAGCAGGAGCTCGTTCCAAGAATGCTGGCCTGGAGCATGCAGGTAGCCACAGTGGGCAGTGGCCCCGGGTGTTCGGCTTAAGACACGGCTGTGTGTCACACTAAGTACCCGTAGCTCTGAAGTACGAGGAATAGAAATGCTGTTTATTTAACAGTATAGCAGTTTGGATTTGGGGCTTCTTCAATCCTAGAACTGGCATTGCCTCAAAAAGGCTGATGAGGCAAATATGGAGTAGGGCTTGTTACAACTGTAATTTGTCACCCTAAAACAGGGTGACACACCAAGACTATTCCGCAGCACCGTTACCAGGGACACACAGCACAACATTTCCTTCCCCCCTCCCCGCCCCCGCTCCCGCCATAGCGGATAGGAAACCACAAGAGCCAGGTAACTCGGGCCCACCCTAGGGCCTCCCACACTGCAGGTCCCGTGGCCAAGGCCGTTCCCCTCCCTCCAAGCACGTCCAGCTTGGGGGCCCACACAGCGCTGCCGTGGAGTCGCTCTCAGCCAGTCCACTAAATGTCTTCAAGAAACGGCCACGTGTTACGTGTAAGTGGCTCTGTCGCTGCACCCTCTGGTTGCAGGGGTGTGAGGGCGCTGGCGCTGTGGATCCTGCGCCCTTGGAGTAGGCGAGGCCGCTTTCCAGGGCCAGTGTGATCCAGAACACTCTGGTGGCGTCCTCCGTCCCGGGAAATGAAATGTAGCAGCCCTAGGGTATGGCTCGTGGCAGCCGATCGCGCCAAGCTGCTACAGCCAGCTGATTCTTGAAAAACAGCAGCTTAGTCCCCCGCGTGCGTGGTCGGACTGAACTGGCCGTCTGAAGAGGTGACAGTTGGCACTGGAACCACTAATCTGGGGGCTTGCCCTGGAACTGGACCCAGTGCCATTGAGCCATTGGGGATGTTGGTTGTGTTCAAGCTATTAAGGGTCTCGCTAGTAGCTTGCATTTTAAAATAAATTAAATAAAAGACTGGCAAAACAACCCCAATTAGAAGCATGATAAAAACAGCATTCCACCACTGAATTCCACAGTCTGCACCATTGGTCCGTGTCTTTGGAGGGGCTGGGAGCAGTGGCTGATTGGAGGTCTCTACGCAGCAGCTTTCTCGCAGAAAGGTTTCTGACTGCACCGCACGCTCAATATTCTGGTCAATTTCCTTAAAGAAATCTGTCAGTCGGCTGGGTCCAGCGTCAGGGCCTGCAGCTGCTCTGTCTGGATCCGGCAGTTCCACGGTCACTTTGGTCTCTGAAGATGGGCTCGGGAGGGGTTTTAGTTCTTTGTGGGTCTCTGTTAGGATCCCGTGGTTTTTCACTGGAATCTTAATAGATTTCAAAGCGTACAAGTCCTGCTCTCTGATGAAGTTGTTGACTTTCTTGATATCTGCAACCTAGGAAAGCCGGGAAGACAAACATCAAGTGAAGCTCCCGAAATATGTGAAACTCCTTGAAACTAGTATCTAAAAGTGGCTCTTAACCTTGCTGGGTGATGATCCAAGCCTACTTCACTTAAGAATCTGACGAAGACTCGAAAACTGCACCTACGCACAGAATTAGTTTAGGCTGAATAACTTTGTTTTTTGGCTTCCACACAGCCTTGATATGTAGCTTAATAATCAAATTTCCCTATAGATTCAAACGTTTGAACAATTTAAGATCAGTTTTAGAAAACGGATTTACTTTTAACTGTTTAAAGTGTGACTGCAACAAAATGCTTTTAGGTGAAACACGATCATGGCACTAAAATGAACACTGTAGCCCTTTCTACTTCTTTAACTTTTGAGGCAACAGTGCCCCCGTCTGCCTGGCTTCCCTCTCCTACCAGAACCAAACTAAGTAGCGGCCAGACGTTAGCATGTGCCAAACGCAAAGCCTCAGCCAGCTCTACAGACACACTCAGAAGCTACTTTACCTGTAATAACGTTTTGAGAGATGTGCCCTCAGGATTTCCTTTCCCAGAAGTACTGCGGGACATGTAAACTTATTTTTTAAATAAAAGGGATCTACAGTTAATTGACTTTGAAGATTTCACAACACTTTTTATCATTAGAAACATACAGGGAATCAAGGCTCAAGTTGGAAGCTATGCACTGAGATCTTCTGTGCCAAAATCAGAAAAAATGAACACCGCTGTGAGTCTTATCAAGTAACAAAGTTTATGACAAACTCCTCTTCTAATCAAACATGAAGATTTAAGAAGTGGGGAAATGTAAGTCAAAAGGTAAACCCTCTCTCAGGCTAATGTTTGAAAACCTTCCAAAAACATCAGAGATGAACTCTAAAGTTTTAACTCATAAGTCCACTTACACTAGAAAATAAATACAGCCAATAAACCTTTAAATAGAGCCTCATTCAAATCAATCATTTCCACTATTTTAACTGTTTAGCAACTGCTTTTATCATTTAATTGAATTGGGGTAGGGGACATTTTTAATGTATTGCATCCTGAAACTAATGTATGAGATGCTTGAGATCTTTCTGTCTTTGTCCCTAATAAATTAAGAGCAAATTTATTTACTTCAAATAGGAACACTGATCACTCATGAGAGGTATTATATAATTCTTTATGGATTTATTAGACATCACCATGCCATGAAGCCTACTCCATCCATTCAGGTCTTTGTAGGGAAGGATTGTTTTCAGCCAATGTTCTATAAACCATATGGCATCCTAAAGAGGCTGATTATAAGAGTCAACTATAAATGTCAATATAATTTAAAGACCACTATGAGTCCTTGGAGACCACTTGTTTATTTCCCTGGGAAAGACTGCAATACCTCACACAATGTGCTTAGCTATTTGGACCTTGTTAGATAAAACATAGATACTTTAAGGAGGAAAAGATTTTTTTTTTGTTAAGTAGCTTATATAGTCTTAGAGAAGGCCATAGAAATTTGTAGCATAGTGTTAGCAAAATGAAATAAATCGTTTCAATCTAGGAGAAAATGCAGCAATTCTAGAAATACTTTCCTACTTACTTTGCCATTGTTAATCACTCTGAATGCTAAAACATAATTAAAAGAGAAAAACAGGGTTATACAGATACACAGCACACAAAAGCCAGATCATGCACTTCTAAAAGAGAAGGTAAATCTTTACTAGTCAAATAAGCTACCACCGAGAAAAGTTCAGAAAAATAAAAGGAGAAAGAAAAGCTAGCATGCCAAAGAAATCTTGGGTTCATCTGCCTGGCATTTCCAGCCCCAGTAGGTCTAAAATAAAATGTGCTCAAAAGAAAAGAAAAAGGTTTCAGAACTTTAGTGGAGAAACAAGGAAGAGTAGAAGTACTCTGCAGGGAGGGGAACGCATCCCTCTTCATGAGCCCAGGGTTCAGACCTAAAGGTACTTCTAGCTGCCTTCCGTCTCTGGCTGAATGGGGGAGTCCTCTGCTGCTACAACAGGGCTCCCTCTCCTGGTCACCTGGCGGGAGTCAGGAAGGGCAGCAAGGGCCCCACCCTGCAGAGCACCAGAGGGGTGTCTTACTTTGCAGCCATACTGCAGAGCCAGCTTGTTGAGGCTGTCCTCCTGGGCCAGCTCCCGCTGCAGCAGCACCACGTCGCCTGCTCCTGGCTGGTGAGGGTGGTGAGCACCGCTCTTCTGGAGTTCCTTGCCCCGGGGTCGCAGAACCACACGGTGTGACTCTTCCTCGGAGGAATCCCCCGAGTCCCCACTGCCATTCTTAAACATGTAAACATGGCTGGTCGGAGTCCTGCAGACAACAGCTGGGCCTTGGAAGGTCTTGGTTAACACTTCCTTCTGCCTCATTTTCTTAAATGAAAACCAAACCCCAGAGTTAATTACATATAAGGCATAGTTATCCTTTTACGGCCTCATTAAAGAGAAGTGTCTTCTAGTTAGAGATTACTCCTTTCCCTAATGATGGCAAATACTCAACAAATACCATCAGTACAAAAAAGAATGTGCTCATGTTGGCTAAAATGGAAGAAGATAAATACTGTTTTTTTTCTAGTTGCATACTGTTTGTGCAGAAAACAAAAGAATCCCCCCCCTTCTTCTCCCCTCACTCCTTATCTATAGCTGTTTCTCTCCCAAATCCACCTATGTAAAGACACAATTTCTATTTTTGGTCTCAGAGTTGTACAGAAGTGGTTGGGATCCTTGCAATGAAAAGTAAGGACTGTTCCCAGCTTCCTTGCACCAAAAAATTTAAACTCAGAACCTTTGTACAAGAAATTCTTACTGAATACTTTGTGTTCCAAAGCATCCTCACTAAGAAGGTCAATAGTAAGGACACTTAGAAGAACTATGAGACTAAAATGCTCTTATTTTGACACAGCTTGACTTATATAGCACGTGGGGCAAGTTCAGGGGAAAATGCCTGTCACACTGAGAAATTCGTCCCGTTTCCTCACAGGTCACTTTGCAGTCATTACATCCCCATGTCTGGTTTTTATTTTCACCTTGAGCCAAGTGCCAAAGCCACAATACACTCTTCCCCTCTCCAAATTGTCCGGATGAAATTCCAGAAATGAAATCTCCAACAGGAGGATTGACAACCACTGGGGAGCGGCCCATTTCGTGACAGCCCGTGGCCCCAGCGCGAACCCCACCCCGCCCCGCCCAGGCCCTCGGGGGCCACCGCCCCGACACCCACACCTCTGAGCTGGGTCCACCCGGAGGAGGAGGGAGGCGACCGGGCCTCCTCGGGAGGCTGAGGATCACCTGCTGGACCTCGGCGGCAGCCCGAGATCGGGGCCCGGCTTTCGCGTCCGAGCTCAGGTCCTGCGAGGGGCTCCAGCCGCTCTCGGGCCGGTTTCCCCCGTAGCCCCTTCCGTGAAAGCAGGGGGTGCCTCAGCAGGAGCTGACATAAAGACGGGGAGAGGCCCGCCCCTAGGCTTACACGGGCGGAGTTCCAACCTTCCACAAAGGCACGACCTCCGACCTCTGAGCTCCAACCCTTGCAACCTGGGGCCAGCCCTCGACAGTCGCGGTCACGGCCCCTCCAGCTGCGGGAGGGTCGCTTAGGAGACCGGGGAGTGGCGGCCTGCCCCCGAGCCGAGGAGTGAGGCCAGGACCCCGTGCCGCCATGAGCCCCCAGCCAGGACCGCGGTTCCCTCCTCCAGGCCCCGGTACCTCAGCCTCCAGGCTCCGCCGCAACCCACCGCCGCCGCGCCTGCCAATTGGCTGCGAAAATCAGCAGGCCGCAGGGTGGGGCCTGCGAGGCAGCCAATGAAATCAGCGTTGGGCGGGCACTGATACGAGCCAAGCTGTGCTGAGAGTTCAGCAGGGGACCAGCAGGGCCCGGGGCGGGGCGGGGCTGGGGGCGGGGCCTCAGGTGGGGCGGGGCTCAGCTCCGGGACTTGACCCTCGCCCCGCCCTCCTGCCTGCCCGGCCTGCGCCCGCGTCTGCCCCGGGCCGTAAAGCACTTTAACTCCTCCTTCCCCAAGTTCACAGCTTTCTGCTGAGCCTCAGCTTTCTCACCAGTAGAAGAGGCCTTTGACCCCGCGTGTGTGTAATGATCTGTATTCGGGGACGGATTCCCAGTAGAGTGGGTGGCCCCGAGACCTCCCGCGGGGAAAGGGCTCCTCTGGCTGGGCCCACGTGGGCGAGGGGGTCTTTCTGCGGGGTCTGGCGTCCGAGCCTTTGAGGGCCGGGCCTGAGGGGGAGTTTGCCCTGCCCCGCCGCCCCGATAAGCAGGAAAAATCCACGAATTTTAGTAAAACATTGACCCCCGACGACACGGACCAAAAAAAGGTAAGTAATATTTATCAAATATCCAGTGATGGACATTTGATAAATGGTAAAACTGATATTTAAAATGATTGAAAAGTGATATGATAGAAATGATTTTTAAATGATATTAAAAAATTGAATAAAAATGGAAGAATTCTCACACACTAAGGTGCAAAGGTTTAAAACTTCTGCTTCAAAAGGGAATCCAAAATTAAAAAGCAGATAATCTGGGGAAAATAAATGTAACACGACAAAGGATTAAGATACTTAATTGAGAGAGAGAGACACCAAATGTGTAAGAAAGATGCTAAAACCTCTGTAGATCAATGGGTAGAGAACATGAGCAGATAATTAACGGAAGAATTCAAATGGTCAACAGGGGGGAGAAGTTCCAGCCCACTAGCAATCACATGAAACAAGAAACAAACAGATTAAAACAAGATCTCAGAAACCCTTTCTATGGCTTTCCATCCCACTTAGAATAAAAATCAACCCTGAGGCCTCAGATAAGCCACTTTCTCACTGAGGCCCGTCCACCCCCCTACATAGGTGCTTCCTCTGTGCTCTGTCAGAACATGATTTCTTTATAGTCCTTCCCAGCTAATTTACTTGTTCTATTGCCCCTGGTTGTCACCTGCTTCTTTCACCATTCAACTTCCAATGCCCAGCTCAGTGCAGGCACCGAGTAGTGCTCATTTAATATTGGCTCAATAGGAGAGACATTCTGTGACTTGACCTGAGATACACAGGTGAGAAGTGGCAGCACCGAAATCCAAATCCTGGTGTGTCTACTCCAGAGGCCCAGCTGTCGGCCACCAGCTATACTTCTTTCTGGCCCAAGGCGACTGGCCATGGCATGGTGGATTTGGGAAGTCCAAGAGTAAGAATTTAAAAGTATGATTAACGGCAAGAGAAGTCAGAACAGAATTTGTAAAGCTGCATTATTGTAGCCACTCCCTGATCAGTTATGGTTGTTTCATTCATTCAGCACGTCCAATAAAAAGCAAATCCAGACTTAGTAGGCACAAACTTTATTCCAAAGGGTTATTGCAAGGTGGGGAGGAGGGACTGTTGCAATGGGGAGAATACTCTGTAAGCTCTGAGACCATCTCCAGAGTTAGAAAGAGTTTTTCTTTTCTAGAGAGGAGTAAGCAAAGCTAGAAAGAATGTGGTGTGAGAGGGGGATGAAAGAGCAGTGGATCACATAGTAGAGAATATTCTACCTCTCAGGAAAGGCTGTTTGCTGGCTTAGGCTAAGGGTGGAACAAAATTTATTCAGAGGCCTGGGGGAAGGAGGGAACCCTAACCCAATTTTGGGTACCAAGCATTTAGTTCCAACTAATTGCTGGGAACAAGCAATTCTGCTTATTATTGTGAACTAAAATGAAATGTTAATCCCCCCGACTGAATGGACCCCTCTTGGCCAAGGGGACCTCAGAAATACCCTAAAGCTAAGTTGGCCATGAGAAGGGAGGTCAGACACACCTCATCATGCTCCTCCGTTCTTGGAGTTATGCTTTGCTTTGCAGGGTGGGGCCCTTGCTGCCCTTCCTGACTCCTGCCAGGTACCCAGGAGAGGGAGGCCTGTTGTAGCAGCAGAGGACTCCCCCATTCAGCCAGAGATGGAAGGCAGCTGGAAGTACCTTTAGGTCTGAACCCTGGGCTCATGAAGAGGGATGCGTTCCCCTCCCTGCAGAGTACTTCCACTCTTCCTTGTTTCTCCACTAAAGTTCTGAAACCTTTTTCTTTTCTTTTGAGCACATTTTATTTTAGACCTAATGGGGCTGGAGATGCCAGGCAGATCTACCCAAGATTTCTTTGGCATGCTAGCTTTTCTTTCTCTTTTTATTTTTCTGAACTTTTCTTGGTGGTAGCTTATTTGACTAGTAAAGATTTACCTTCTCTTTTAGAAGTGCATGACCTGGCTTTTGTGTGCTGTGTATCCGTATAACCCTGTTTTTCTCTTTAATTATGTTGTTAGCACTCAGAGTGATTAACAATGGCAGAGTAAGTAGGAAAGCATTTCTAGAATTGCTGCATTTTCTCCTAGATTGAAACAATTTATTTCATTTTGCTGACACTGTGCTACAAATTTCTATGGCTTTTTCTAAGGCTTTATAAGCTACTTAATAAGAAAATCTTTTCCTCCTTAAAGTATCTGTTATTTATATACTAAATGCATTGTGTGGGGTATTTCGGTCCTTCTCAGGGAAGTAAGCAGGTGGGTCACCAGGGACTCGAGTCCCCAAGATGGAGGCGAGGGGCATTCTTCCAAGTACAGTCAGTGCTCTGTATCTGTGAGTTCTGCGTCTGTGGGTTCAACCAACCGTGGATTGAAAATGTAGTTTGGCCCACGATGGTTGTGTCTGTACAGACTTTTATCTTGTCATTATTCCCTAAACAATACAGTATAACAACGCTTTCTATAGCATTTACATTGTATTGGGAATTTTAAGTAATCTAGACAGGATTTAAAGTGTACGGGAAGATGTACACAGATCATATGCAAATGCTAGACCATTGTATGTCAGGGACTTGAGCATCCGCAGAGTCTGGTATCCCAGGGACAACTGTACTTGAAAATCAGGGAATCCGGGTGGGGTTCAAATTCTCAAGTTTTCAAACCTAAAGACATCAAAGCTCCATTGAAATGACATGTAAAAGTTGTGGGAGTTTTTTTAATAAAGCCAAGCATACCAACAATTCCTCTCCTGGGCATTTACCCAAGAGAAATGAAAACATAAGTTCACAAAAAGACGAGTACAAGAATGTTTATGGATGCTTTATCCATAATTGCCTACATCACCTGGTGAGTGGGTCAGCACATTGTGGCACACTCACACGATAGCATCCTACTCAGCAGTAACGAGGAACTACTGACACATGCAACAACGTGAGTGGATCTCAAAAGCATCATGCTAAGGGAAAGAAACTAGATGCCAAAAGCTATATATGGTATGGCTTCCTTTCATATGACATTCTGGAATTTGCAAGACGATAGGCACAGGAATCAGATCAGTTCAGTGGTTGTCAGAGGCTGAGGCCAGGGTGCAGACAGAGAGTCAGGGGTTGTCTGCAAACAGACTCAGGAAACTTTCTGGAATGATGGAAATGGTGTAATCTCAATTGTAGTAGTGGTCAAAACTCACCAAATGGTAGACTCAAAAAGGGTGAATTTTACTGTATGTAAATTATACCTTAATGAGCCTGAGTTAAAAAGCGGGGGGGCGGGGTTCCTCAAAAAAATCAAACATGGAATTACCGTATGATCCAGCAACCCCATTTCTGGGTATATAGCCCTCCAAATCCCCCCAAAATGGAAAGTAGGGTCTCAAAGAGATATATTGCACACCCACGTTCATAGCAATGTTATTCACAGTAGCCAAGAGGCGGAAGTAACCGAAGTGTACATCAGCAGGTGAATGGAGAAACAAAATGTGGTATATTCACACAGTGAAATATTATTCAGCCTTAAAAAGGAAGGAAGTTCTGCCACATACTACAACATGGATGAACCTCGAAGATGTTATGCTACATGAAATAAGCCCATCGCAAAGGATAAATACTGTATGATTCCACTTGTACAAGGTAGCTGGAGTCATTCAAACTGTAGAGACGGAAAGCAGGCTGGGGAGAGGGAAGAGAAGGGTCTTAGGGTTTAGTGGGTACAGAGTCTCAGGTTGGAAGATGAAAAAGTTCTGGAAATGGATGGTGGTGATGGTTGCACAATGTGAATGTACTTAATCCCACAGAACTGGACACTTAAAAGTGTTAAGGTGATGTATCTTATATGTATTTTACTACAATTTTAGTAAAGGTGGAGTGGAAGAAGAGTTTACAGCAGCATATTTTTAAAAATCTCTGCATGTTCTAGTCAAGTCCTACAAGTAAGTGAGGTAGGATGTTGACCACATGGTGAGATGTGGGGCTGTGGGGACAGCCACCCCTCTCTAGAGCTGAATAGCCCAACAAGGTAGCTACTCGCCCTATGGAGCCATTGAGCCCTTGGAACGTGGCTGGTCAAATTGAGATGCGCTGTAAGTACCAACTGCACATTGGTTTTAAGAGGCTTAGTACAAAAGAAAGAATATAAAATAATTCATTTATACTTGGTATATTACTTACATGCTAAATTGACATTTTAGATATATTAGGTTACAGAAAATATTATTAAAATTAATTCCACTTGTTTCTTTTAACTTTTTTTTAATGTGGCTACTAGAAAATGTAAACTTAACATCTGTAGTTCACTTTATATATTTCTACTAGACAATGCTGCTCTGGGATTGCCCTGCAGGTGCCTGAGATCCCGCTGTTCAGAGACGTCATTTGCCGTGGTCCCTTGTTCTCTGAAGGGCCCTGGGTAATAGGCAAATACCCAGCCATTCGCAGCAGGCCCATGGTTGGCCAGGAGGGTGGCAGCTTGG